CGACATTTTCTGACCCAAGCAAACATTTTGTCAAAAAGCTTCCCAACCACTCTGCTGGGAATGTGCTCTTTGCCATCAGTCCCCAAGGCTGGAGTGCCGGGGTGTTGAAATGTTACTATAGCCCTGGAAACTGTGAGTCAGCTTGTCCCCACCCACAGCAGATACTCGTGGGAAGGGCCTTGAAAAGCCTGGAAATTCAGCAGCTCCTGCCTTGCGGAGTTTCCATTAACCCGTTCACTTTAATTCCTGGTGAAACGCAGCATGTGGCCAATTTCTGTCGGATTTTGCCTCTTTTTTCTCCTTCCTGGTTGTGGTGAATTTTGGAGGATATTTCATTTCAATCCATCCCTAAACAATTTGGCTGCTGTGGTTCCAGTTCCACCCCCAGGGCAGCAGATGCAGCCTCAGCACGGATCCCGTGGGATTCGGATGGGATCGATGGTTGGGGAAACTTTGATCCCAGCTGGAGGAAAGGAGCCAGAGCAAAACCGGTCCCTGGGCTGGGATGTAAATACACTGAGCAGGGCATGGCCTGGCCAGGCAGAGGGTCCTGCACTGATGGCCCAGGTTCACACTGGGGGTGATGCTGCACCTCTGCTCTGGAGCCAAGCTGGGAGAGCTGGGAATTTCACCTGGAGAAGTCTCCAGGGAAAACTCAGAGGCTGAAGGGGCTCCAGGAGAGCTGGAGAGGGACTGGGGACAAGGGATGGAGGGACAGGACACAGGGAATGGCTTCCACTGCCAGAGGGCAGGGATGGATGGATATTGGGAAGGAATTCTTCCCTTTAAGGGTGGGCAGACCCTGGCACAGGGTACACAGAGCAGCTGGGGCTGCCCCTGGATCCCTGGCAGTGCCCAAGGCCAGGCTGGACAGGGTTTGGAGCAGCCTGGGATAGGGGAAGGTGTCCCTGCCATGGCAGGGGTGGCACTGGATGGGTTTTAAGGTCCCTTCCAACCCAAAGCATTCCATGATTTTATGCCCCAGGAGAGCTGGCAGAGTGTGGTTCCATCCCATGGGAAGGGTTTTGCCGAGGCTGCAGCTCCTCCAGGATGGGGCCACAGGCTGAGGGGCTGAGGTGAGATCACATCTCTGCACGAAGGGTTTCAAGGTGCCAAGGAGGTCTGGGAGTGTGGAATCCAGCAGTTGGGAAATTCTCCATGGAGAAAAACTCTTCAAACCTAAATTTTTATATACTTTGGATTTATCAAAACGCCTCATTCTGATTTTAGCTTTTTCCATTTTGAAGAGGGTCCAAGGTCCTATCACAGTGTGTTACCACACAGGGTATAACATTTGCAAGAGTGAAATGAAAAGTCAGTTTGAACTGGAAAATCATGGCAATGTCACGAAAACAAAGGAAATGGGACATTCTGGTGTTGTCAAAACCTTTTTTCTCTGGTTCCTTTCAAAATCAGCTTCCAGCAAAACCAGCAGGATTTTATGAGGCATTTTCATTTTTGGCAGAGCCCCTGGCTCTGGCGCAGCAGGTTTGTGGTTCTCTGGTTGGGCTCAGACACTCTGAGCCCCCATTCCTGGGGGAAAAGGGGGTGCAATGTGTCCCCCAGCCCCCCCCACCCCTTGGGGGTCCCCATCTGCCCCCATTTTCAGGGCATTAAAATAACCTACAACATTATTTAAGTGCCAATTATTCATTTTGTGTTTTAACCCCTGCATTCTTCTTTCTGACCAGGAATGTATCAAATACTAGAGATCAAAAAAATAAAAAAGCAGCAAATGATGATATTCATTCTCCTTGGTGAGTGCCACAGTTGGGGTTTGGGTTCTACTGATGCCTTTGAGGGTGCTGGCAATGGCAGGGCTGGTCCTTGTGCCCCTTTTTTCCCCATCCCAGCTGCAGTTTGGCTTTGGGAAGAGGTTGGTGCCCTCCTGGCCACCCACAGTCCTCTTGGACCCAGGAGGGTTTGGCTTTCTGTCGTACCTGGGAGATCCATGGCAGATAACATTGGCAGGATTTCAAAAGCTTCTCTGCCAAGACCTATAGGATGTGTTCCAGAGCATCTCCCAGGAATGTTTGTTATTATGACAGGCAAAAAATAAAATAAAATAAAAAAAGGGGGAGGGGGTAAAAAAATAAAATAAAAGGCAGTGAAAGAGCACATTGCTGTTAATCACTAGAAATCCTTTAATAACCAACATTACTATAAATTATACGTGCATTGTGACGGGCACAATCGAGGGCTCTGTTTTTGCTGCCCACGTTGGGGCAGGAACAATGTGCTGTTGTTGCAGGAGCTAGGATGGATGGCATTCCGGGTGGAATCCTGCATACCTGTGCCCGTGGAGATGCTCAGCTGCTCCAGATCCCATGAAAGCCCCATTGTTCTTCCTGCCATATTGCACACTCCATGATTATAGAGCGTTGGATGAGCGGTGAGACGTTGCTTGTTGGAATAATAACCTATTCTTAGCTCTGCCAGTGCTATATTTAAGATTTATATATATTTAAATGTTGGTAATTGCATATTTGGGATGTATTGTAATTTGGGTGACAGCTTGGAAAGACTGTTGGAAGGAAAAGCATCAGCTGCGTTTAGGGAGGTGAATCCTGGGGTCATGAAGGGCAGGGTGATCCATGTGGATTTTAAACAAGTGTTGGAACATCTCTGGAGCAGCCTCAGGATGAGCAGGGATCCTGCCAGGGTTGGAGATCCATCTCTGGAAGTGTCCACGGCCGGGCTGGACGGGACTTGGAGCAACCTGGGATGGTGGAAACTGTCCCTGCCCATGGTGAGGAGTGGAATCAAATGGGCTTTAAGGTCCCTTTCAACCCAAACCACTCCATGATTCCATGAGATCCAGGAAATCCCAGTTTCTACTTCCATGTCTGAAGCTGAATTTATTTCTCTGTAGCCCTTTTGTGCCTTTTCCCTGTGAAACAAAGGCATTTTCCTCCCCACAGTGGGGTGGCTTCAGTGCAAACCATGGTGCAGGTGTGAAACGTGGCTGAGAGCTGAGCAGTGGCAGAGGCAGCAAGGCCCTCACAGGTTTTCTATGAATTTTTATATTTTTAAATAGGCAAGCTGCACATTTCCTAAACCCCAAAAAGGAGCTTTGCTGTTGGTCCTACAGGTCAGAAGTGACCCCAAAATCAAAAGACTTGTTTGCATTCTGTGTTTATACTGGTGCAGATGTTGGTGGCACACACCTATGGATTTTAAGTGGAGTATTTGATGTTACACTGATTAAGTTTGCTGTAAAAAAAATAATGGTAGTCTTCATCCAGTAGATTTAAATTATGCTCTTGGGTGACTCAGGGCAGGTTTGGGGAAATATAGACAGAAATGTGGACAGAAGCATTCAGGTATCACCCAAAAGATTCCAAGAGGAAAACTACCAAGATCCAGGTTGTCCAGGATCTGTTGGTAGAAATAATTTCATTGGTTTGGGTTTGGGTGTTTTTTCCCTTAACTGATCAACTGCTGGGGGCTTAATTGCCCAGATTAATTTTCGCTCATTAGCGAAGTCTCCAGGCTGGCCCCGAGCTTTTCCTCCAGCAGTTTCCCACCGATCCATCCCAGGGGTGGGGGAAACTTCCCTGGGGATGGAGCGAGGATGGGCAAAGCCGTGCCAGGGGGGTGGGAATAGCTATTTTATGGCAATTTATTTATTTATCCTCTCTTCGGGGAAGGGTTATTTGGCACGGATCCCACCCAGGGGGTGCCGCTCCCCAAGGGCACTCCGTCGCTGCGGCCGCGCGGGGCGGGACATGATGCCGCCGCTCCCCCGGCTCCCGGCGGCGCTGCCGGTGGCCCCGGGCGGTTCCGTGTCCCCGCATTGCCCCCGTTCCCGTTCCCGTTCCCGTTCCCGTTCCCGGGGTGGCGGCGGGCGCGGGGACCGCGCGGCGCCGGGGCCGCCGTTCATTCACGGCCACGCCGGGGTAGGAGCGGGGCGGGGCCAGCGCCGCGCGCCGACCAATGAGAAGCGGCGGCGCCGCGCGTCACGCGGCCGCCAGCCAATGGGAGCGCGCCGGGCCTGAACTTTTGCCACGGCGGACAAGTTGATACATCGCGGGGGTGTGTCCGGCGCGCGGCCCGCGGGGGGGGCGCGTTAACCCCCGCGCTGCCGTGACCTACTTTCACACCGCCCCGCTGCCGCCGCGCCCCCCCGCCCCGCTCCGCCGCTCCCCGCGGGGCGATCCCCCCACCCACCCCAGCCTCATCCCGCCCGCCGGCGGCGCGGGGCCGAGCGGGGCCGGCGGCGGGCGGGAGCGGCGGGCGCGGGGCGGCGCGGGGCGCTTTAAGCGGTCGGAAACCCGAGCCGGTGTTTGCGCAAGGGCCGGTGCCGCGCGGAGCCGCCGGAGTGTCTAGACTGGCACATGATGGGCGGCAGCCAATGGCGGCGCCGCTCGCGAGGGGCCCCGCGCGCGCGCCCCGGCCACACAAAAGCCGGCGAGGGGCGGGCGGGCGCGAGCGGGCGGCGGCGGCGGCCCCGGGAGCCGCGCACGGACCCGCCGGACCGGGGCCGCGCCCTGCGATGCGGACAAGGGACGCGCTGACAACCGGCCTGCGCTGCTGCCTCTGCTGCTGCTTCGTCTTCGCCGTTCTGATTTAATTTTTTTTCCTCCTTTTTTTTTTTTTTTTAATTTTTTTATTTTATTTTTTTTTTTTTAAATACTATTTTTGGCTGAAGGGATCCGACGCCTCCGAGCGGCCCCCGGCGCCGGTTCCCCGCCGGGCGGCACCCCCGCGCCGGGAGCGCTTCCCCGCTCCTCCCCACCTTGTATGGTGGAGCGGCCGCGGTGCGCAGCCGAGCGCTGCCCCGGGCTCCCCCCGGCCCTCGCCCCCGCCGCTCCCCGCCCGGGCCCGCGTTGGCAGCCGATGTAGGGCACGGCGCGGCGCGCCCGAGCCCCAGCGCCGCCACGGGAGCGGCCCCCGCGGCGCCGTCTATGCCCGCGCCGCCCCGCCGCCCCCCCCATGGTGCGGCCCCGCCGCGGGCCGTCCGAGATCCGCTGGGCAGCAGCGCCGCGGGGAGTCCGGGCTGCTCCGGGGCTGCGATGAGATAGAGCCGGCGGCGGAGCGAGGAGCCCCGCGGAGGAGGGCGGGGGGCGGCGGAGAGCGACGCGACCCCCGGCCGCCCGCGGGTCGTATGTTCAGGTCCAAACGCTCAGGGCTGGTGCGGCGACTTTGGAGGAGCCGCGTCATTCCGGACAGGGACGGCGGAGATGGGAGCGCCAGGAGCGGCCACGACCTCGGAGCCACCGGCAGCTGCAAGATCGCGGAGAAAAGCCCCTCGGCGGAGCTCCGCGCGGTAGCGCGCAGCCTGCTGCTGCGGGAGGCGGAGGAGCGGCGCGGGGCGGCGGGCGAGGCGGCGCCGCGCGGGGACCCCATGGCGGAGCGGCGCGGGGCCCGGCTCCGAGCTCCCGGCTCCGCAACGGAGAGCGACGGCCGGACCGTGACCTGCTGCCTCTTCTCGGAGCGGGAGCCGGGCGGCCCCCAGCCTCCCCCCGCCGCCGCCCCCGGACCCGACGGCGCGGCCGACGGCGGCTCCCCGGAGCGGCGGGGCCGGGAGGCGCGGGCGCGGCTGCTGGTGCTGGAGCAGGAGCTGAAGGCCGTCACCTACTCGCTGCTGAAGCGGCTGAAGGAGCGCTCGCTGGACAGCCTGCTGGAGGCGGTGGAGTCCCGCGGGGGGATGCCCGGCGGCTGCGTCCTCGTGGCCCGCACCGAGGTGCGCCTGGGGGGCCTGGCGGCGCCCCCGCACCTCCTCCTGGGCAAATTGTTCCGCTGGCCCGACCTGCAGCACCCCGCCGAGCTGAAGCCCCTCTGCGAGTGCCAGAGCTTCGGCGTCGCCGACGGACCCACGGTCTGCTGCAACCCCTACCACTTCAGCCGCCTCTGTGGGCCAGGTGAGCAGCGGCGTGTTGGGTCCCCCCTGGCCACAAACACCCACCGATTTGGGGGTTCGGGGTTTCTGACCCCTTCCTGGCTTTATCCGAACCCTCGTGGGCAGCGCTGCCCCGGCCCCGCGGCGTTGCGGGGATGCCCGGGGGGACGCGCCTGGTCCGGGGTCCCCTCCGGGCATCCCCCCCTCTCTCGGAACCAGCGGTTCCAGTTGTGCGTAAAAAGCCCTTTCTCTTTATTGTTTTTATTTTTTTCCCTTCCCGAGGAGTTTCCCCGCTCTCCGGGAGCCGCAGGGGCGATAATCGGCGGCTCCATCCCGCTGGCGCCAGCCTGGCTCGCTCGTATCGGAGCCGGGCGGTCACCGCCGCCCGCTTAAAGCCGCAGGCGCTTCGGGGGGGGCTGCGGGGATGTCCCCGCCGCGGGGATCCCCGCACCCGCCAGGACATCTGGGGCTCCTGCATTTCTCGGGGGATTCTCATTTTTTTACCGTGGGAAGAGGTGAGCGTTTTCAAAGCTTGGGTTTGGTTTTCTTGAGGGTTTTTTGAGCAATACTTGATCGTGCGTCTGTGTCAGCAGGGAATAGTTATATGGAGCAGAGACGTGTTGGAGTTTGAGGTGCAGAAATCGAGATGATATTGTACAAAAAGTGTAATGAAACTGGACAGCTGGATTCCCACTGCCAGAGGGCAGGGTTAGACGGGATATTGGGAAGGAATTGTTCCCTGGGCAGGCCCTGGCACAGGGTGCCCAGAGAAGCTCCGGCTGCCCCTGAATCCCTGGAAGTGCCCAAGGCCAGGTTGGATGGGGCTTGGAGCAGCCTGGGACAGTGGAAGGTGTCCCTGCCCATGAATGAGTTGATTTTTAAGGTCCCTTCCAACCCAAACCATCCTGTGATTCTGTGCTGACTGTCCCTTTTTTTTGCAAGAACTTGGATTTTATTATTTCTTTTGCAATCTGGGCTCCTGCCTCGCTTTGCATCACTTCTTTCAAAGAAACTTCTCTTCTGGGCGTGCTTCTCCCGAAGGTCGCTAGAGGCTGGAGGCAGCTTTTTTATTCCAGATGGAGTTGAGCTGCGTTTTCAGGAACGGGGCATTTATTTTAGAAACGGGAGAAGTTTTCCAGTCTCTTTCCTGCAGCCTCGCTGATTTTCCCAGCGGTGAGCGGCTGCCAACCCTGTGCTGGGAGTAGTAGAAAGCAGAGCTGTTATCAAGTGGCTCCTTATCACTTCGATAATGGGTGACTGTGCCAGGACCCCGCCCGCGCTGGGCGCTGGTACCAGGAGCCAGGAAAAGGCCTTGGTGCCCTTTTCCACAAGTGGCTCCCTGCAGGGATCATCCTGCTGCTGTTTCCCACCCCGTTTGCTGAGGGCTGTGAGGGCTCTGGGGTGCTTGGGACGAATCCCTGCCGAGGGACCAGCACAGCCAGGTCCAGCTGTTACATCCATCCACATGGGGACATCAGCACCTTTATTAATTTTTTTAAATTTTTTTTTGGATTTAAGAGCACCCTGCTCCCTTAGGAGAGATGGAGAGGCTTTTCTGAGAAGCAGTGGATGACCCCAGAGCCGTCACACAGGGGATGCTGTGGTTGTTTTTGATGAACTCGGGACCAGGGGGGAGCTGAGGGGCACTCCTGTGTTTCCCTTCTCTGGGGTCAATGTGGTGCCACTGATGGACTTGACAGTAAATTTGTCACTGAGCTCAGTGCTGATAGAGCCCAGCTGGCTGCACACTCGCTTTTGGCAAGTTACAAGAGAAATCACTGTCGTATTATGGAAGGGGAAAAGAAACGCCTCTAATCAGGGCCTGGAGATGATGAAGGACCTTCATCCACCTTCCCCATGCTCTTGACCCCTCCAAAAACAGCGAGAGCTGGTTGGATGACCTGATTCAGCCATGCACCTCTGGGCTCTTGCTGAACTTGGAGCACATGGCTGCTTAAAGCCGAGCTGGGAGCTTTGTGGGATGGATTCAGGGTGAGGGGGATCACGGTGGCCTCTGCTGAGCTGCTTCTGTTCCAAGGCCTTTTGGGATGGAGCAAAGTTCCTTGCATGACTTGGTGGCTGGAGCCAGCCTGGCTCTGATGCCAGCCCTGTGTGCCAAGAGGAGCCTTTTTATCACCCAATCCTCCTTTTGAATACTTGTGAAGTGTTTGGGGAGCACCCTGTGTGTTGGAGTGGTGTGCTGGATGGAAGGTTGTCTCCCAACGCAGATGATGTCAATGTGGTTCCTGGGGAGCAATTTGATGTTTGTGTGACTCAGTCCGTGGGTGTCCAGGCACAGATGTGGGCCAGAGGGGTGTGCAGCATTTTCAGTAGCAAAACCCACTTTGAAAGTTGTAGGTGGAACTCCCATTCTTCAAAAATTAGGAAAACCTTGGTCTCCAGTTGCTTCCAAGTGTTTTGTTTTCCAGTGTTTATAACCTTGGAAGAGTTCCTACCCCAGAAGGGAAAGTGAGAGGGTTTGTTGGTACACCGAACACAGCACTAACCTGAACTTTTGTTTCTCCAGAGTCTCCACCACCTCCCTACTCTCGGCTGTCTCCTAATGATGAGCAAAAGCCACTGGGTACGTGTTTTGTCTCTTTTGATCTCTGGGGTTCTCCTTTCATGGTGCAGCCCCGCTGCTGCTTCTGAGACAGCCCTACCTGGCACGTCAGGCAAAAACCAACAAGTCGGGCTTTTATGGCTGCTCATTATTTCTGAGCAAGCATCAGCTGACGGGTTTTAAGAAGTAAATGGATGCCAGTTTATCCTACCAAATTACCGTGTAGACACATGCATATTTTCCGAAATAATACGAAGCTCTATTTTTAATGAAGGCGTAATGAAAGGTTGCCAGCCGTCGTGTTTTGTCTGCGTGTGTAATCTGCGGGAGTGGGAGCTCCTGGGTGCCATTTCCATAAAGGCCTGGCTGTGCTGCTCCATGCAGGAACCAGCTATTACCCTTCCTCTGCTCTTTACAAACAGATGGAAAGTCTTTGAAACTCTGTGTCATTTCTGAACGGGGAGTCACTTTTCCTGGGGAATTATGAAAGGTTTTCCAGGCAGAGCTGGTGAAAGCAGCTTTGGGGTGGAGTGCAAGGTGCTGGAGAGCCCAGCAGCCTGGTCCTGTGTGCTGCATGTCAGCCTGCAGATGTTTTGAGCTGCATCCTCACCATCCTTTCTCAGCCCTGTTTCTTGCTCAGTTAAATGGGGAGCAAAGACATGGCAGCGTTGGAGGGAAGGGAGGAATCCCACATCCCTCTTGGATTTCTTGCTGGGATCGGTGCAGCTGGGGGCTTCCTCCCTTTATCCCGTGGTCAGTGATTTACTGGGGTTAATGGCCAGGGGGAGCTGCTTTTGCTCCCATGGGGCAGGGAGGGGACAGATGGGGTTTGGCAGGGCTAGGAGGGGACAGCAGTGCCTGCCTGTCCCACCCAGCCCTGGGGAAGGCAGGAGCTGCCAGAGGTGAATCCCTGCCCTGCCAGGCCTGGGAGCTGCAGCAGCCTCAGCCATGTGTGCACCCTTCATCACCACAGGGCTGTGACCAGAGCATCCTGCAAGGCTAAGCTGGCTGCTGGGGGCTTTCTTTTCTTTTTTTCCTTTTTTTTTTTTTTTTGTTAGGTGTGGAGGCAAAAAAAAGAAAAAAAAGGAGTTGACCCTCCCTGTTCTCCCCCTTGCAAGTTGTTTAATTCCCTTTAAAAACTGCTTGTGCTGCAGGGAGAGATGATAGTGAGCGACACGTGACTTTATTAAAACAACAGCCAGGGGTTGAAATTTGCTTCACTGGCTTGTTTGATTGGAAAAATAATAGTTAATCTGTGAGCAAACAGTTGAGCACTTAATTAGAGGGGTGTAAGCAAAAGAGAATAACAAAGACTCTTAACTTGTTAAAACAAAGTTTCCTTCGCTTCAGCAAAGAGGAAGGAAGGAAGCAAGAATAAACAGCTTCAAGAATTTTAATGGTGATAATTAAGTATAGTAACTCTGACTTGTTTAGAGGCTTAATGTAACTTTATCCAGTAAGCACCAAGTTCCTACTTGTTTGATCAACTTAGCTGGAGTTATTTTTGTGGTCGAGGCAATTCAAACTTTGCATTTGCGTGGTGGAGCTACAAAGTTAATCGCTGCTTTCTGGCTCTGTGGAGTTTCTCTCGGGGAGGTGGTGGGAAGTGGAGCAGCCAGGGGTGCTCACGTAGCACTGGCAAATGCAGCAGGACTAAAAGTGCTTTCTTTTATTTATTTATTTTTTTTTTCCCCCTAGATCTATCAGATTCCACGTTGTCTTACACTGAAACAGAGGCTACAAACTCTCCCAACGTCACGCCCGGAGATTTCTCAGGTTGGCAGCTTTTGGTGGTGGGGCAGGACAGCAGGAGGGGACGGGGGTGCTGGTCCTGCTCTTGGTTTGTGTCCTGGGTGTGAGAAGGACAAAAAGAGCAGTTACTTGAGCTGGTTTTTAAAGAATCCGGTGCTGTGCTAAGATGCTGTTGGTGGGATGGGCAGGGAGCTTTGGGAGGTGGCCACAGGGCCACGTGTGTCCCGTGTGGAGGCCACCTGGAGCCATCCCAGGCTGTGGGGCTGGCTCTGGGCAGTGTTTCCATGGCAGGGACAGTGAGTTGTTCCAGGGCTGTGGGGTGGTTCTTGCCGGGTCTGTCGGGCTGGTGTTACCTGTTGGGCCCCGGCCCCAGGCTGCAATCCCTGCTTTCATGAGCAGGCTCCCAGCTAGGGAGCCATTGAAGATCCCGAACAAAGCTTGGCTTAATTAGGTCCTGGTTTTTGCTCTGCCCCACCCTGCAACCTTTCATTCATTTTAATGGGGCTCTGCAAGGCCTGGGGTGGTTTTAGCTGACAGCAGGTAGAGCTGGGGCTTTCCTTGGCTCGGCAAGGGGCTCTGGCTGGATCATTCCACATCTTCCTCCTCGGTGTCTCCATCATTCCACATCTTCCTCCTCAGTGTCTCCATCATTCCACATCTTCCTCCTCGGTGTCTCCATCATTCCACATCTTCCTCCTCAGTGTCTCGTCCCGGGCTGGGGGGGTCACTGGGTGGGACAGGAGGAGCCTGGCTGTAGGAGCAGGTTTAATTTCTTTGCCTGGTTCACAGTGTGAGAACTGGGATGAAGGCAAAGGTGGGTTTTGGTGGAGCCCCACCTGCCTCCTTTGGCAGCTGGGATGGGGCTTGGACACCTCTGAGCTGCATTGCTGGATTGCTGAGCACGTGGATGGAACCTGCTGCTCGCTTGGGGGGATGCTGTGAGTCAAGGGAGGGGACATTTGGGACATTTGGGGTACTGGTCCCTTGGTCGTGGCTTTTCTCTTCATTTTCTTTCCCTGCAAGAGTTCACGGTCGGTTCAGTGAGAACTTTGGTGAGACTTGGGCATTCCTCAGGATGTTTAGGCCAATCAAAACACACAATTAGGGTGTTCAAACAGCACGGGGGCTGTATCATGGCATGGTGGCACATTTCCCTCTGGGGATTTTCCCTCCTCCTGGTCCTTCCAGGTGCCCCTGTGGTGCTGGCCATGGTTGCCGCGTGCTGGGTCTGGCGTGTGCCGGCCCACGGGCTCTTCTCGTGCTGCCGAGTGTCCAGAGCAGGGGAACAATTGATGGCAGAACTCAGATCATTCAGCCTTGTGCTCTGATAAATGTGTTTGCGATTCCTAACAAATGTTCCTAGGGCTGGATGCGCATCCCTAAAGCTCCCGGTGCCCGTGGCTTTTGTTGTAACTTGATAATTGGCATTAATTCCAGCAGCCAAGTTGGAAAAGTGGGATTCCTGAGGATGTAGTGGTTCAGTTTCTCTCATGGCTCAGTCTTTATGGGACATCTGGTGGGTTTGCTGGAAGAGAAGAGAGATTTTAACTTTTCCTTGAACAATATAATGATAACATGTGACCGAGATTGTGCTGAAACCGGATCCCTCCTCTCCCCCTGTGCCGTTTCCAATGGTGTAACTTTTAATAAGAGTCTGGGGCTGGGTGATTTATTTTTCCCCAGTGCTCAGGATTGCTGAAAGAGGATAAGAGCCCTGCTGAAGTTAACCCATACATGTCATCACTGGGAAGTACAAGGGAAAAACCCACTTAGGCTCCAGTCTACCTGCCACGTTTCAGTTTGTTTATTCTCCGTTTCAACTCATTTAATAGCTCTGCTTGAAGTGGAGGCCTGTGGGAGTGATACACAAAGCACATGGTCCTCCCTGCCCCCTCTTGTGTACCAAGGGAGCTCAGTGTGCATTTAACTCATCTTCCAAAAACAAGTACATTTTGGGTCTAGCGTCAAGCCACTGCTATTTATTGGTCCAGCTTTGATCATCAAAAAGAAAGGCTTTTCCTACTAAAACCACAAAATTCAATTTTGTGTAACAAAGAGAACCATTCTTCTCTCTCTCCTTTGCTTGATGAACTTCTAAACAGGAAGCTTTAGCATGAAGGCAAAAGATGATCTCGGTCATATGTATAAATTTAAAAAAAAAAAGCAACCCCTCTTTTTGAAGCAGAACCTTTCATGGCTATAATATTGCCCTTAAAAAGAGGGAAAGCCTTCAGAGAAGTGTCAGGCTCACTGTGAGGTTCAGAGGAGCAGTCAGTGCTAACTGGAAGCACAAGTTGTGGGTAGTTTGGTGGATATGACCTGGATCCGTGGATGATACCCCAGAGCCCTCTTCATCTCGTGCTCAAAGCATTTGGGCCTTGGAACAAAGTTGTTTGTCCAAGGATCAGTGTCCAGCCACAGCTTTTCCCTTGGAATGGGGATGCTCCTGTTTTCCCAGTGAGGTGCAATGGCCTGGGAAGTTCTGGGTTGGTGGGAAAAGGCCCTTGGAGGTGTCTGATGCTGAAATTTTCTCCTGAGCTCGAGCAGCGCCACATTCAGGCTCGTGAGAGCACGAGGAGGGGCTCCATCTTCTCCTCCTTGGATTCATTCCTGCTGGGGAGCAGAGCTGAAGCAAACCTGCTGTTTGGGGAGTGATATTTTAAACCCAGGTGGTTCCCTGGCCTGGGCTGAGCCCGTCTGTCCCCCGGGAGCCGGCGGAGCCGTGGCCAGTCCTGGCGTCACCGCGGCTCCCAGCCGGAGCTGGGGAAATACCAGGGAAAGGGCAAAATCCAGCAAGGCAGGAACAAAAGCTCGGCCTCGTGACTCATAATTGGTGGAACATTTGTAGTAATTTTTTTTTCCCTTCCCCTCAGACTTGGCTCCTCCAGCACATGCCAGGAAGCTGCTGTACCCGTTAGACTTGCCAGGCGTGTGGAGCGCTGAGCCGCTCTGCGGGAGCTGGGCTGGGATGGGGTGCTGGGGACGTGCTGGAGCAGCTGCCGTGGCCTTTGGGATTGCCTGCCTTCCTCTGAATCCCACAGGGCTCTCCCTCCCCAGCCCTTTCCTTAAAACCCATGGAATAGCCCATTCCTGTTGAAAAAGCCCCATGACGAGCGTTGACCAAAGTTCTTGTTAGTGGTGGCTTTAAATTCTGGAGGTCCTGAGGGGAGGACAGGTGGGACAGCAAAAGTGGCTTTGCACCTGTAGCTCTCTGTGCTGATTTGGCCATCCCCAGGGAAAATGCTGGTTTAGTTTTTCCAAAAATAGTTGTTTTTGTTTTTTTTTAAACTTTGAAATCGTTTCCTATGTGCTAAAACTCTCCAAGAGTTTCAGCTCTGGTGAGCCCATGTGTGGCTGAAAATGTGCATCCTGAAGAAGAAATGTTCAATTGGTGGTTTGTGGGACGAGGGATGAATTCCTGTCTGTGCTCCAAAGCAGCAGGAAGGTGTTTCCCACCTGGAAGTGGAAGCACAGGCATGAGTTTATTCCCAGCAGCTCTGCTGATGCCCAGGAGGTGCTGGGCTCCTTGTGGGGGATGAGTTCTGCTTGGGTGGCTGATAGTGGTGGAAGAAAGCTGGGAATTAACAGAGAGAAGAAACAAACTGAATGGGCAGGAGCTTATTTAAATTATTTCTGATTTATTTATTTTGTTTTAAGGCCTGGGAAGATGGGGAGGTTTTTGCAGGGCAGTGCTGGGGCTGGGGGCACTGGATCTGGGGAGCAGGGTCCCTGTACCAGCAAAGGGAGGAACATCCACCCCAGCTGGTGACTCAGCCCTGCTGAGGCACTGCCACGGCTCCAGGCAAGAGCCAGAGGGTTTTTTCTGCTTCCAGCAATATTTAGGATGAACTTAAGGAAGCATATTTTAAAACCCACTGAATGGAGAAAGTGAACGTCTCCCTTCCTCTCCCCCCAGAAAAAACAGGCTGCAGGATTTATGCTAACAAGGAAATTTATGAAGATCCTGTGTGTTAGGAGTAGGAAAAAAAAAAAAAAGCCCATTAAATCTGTCAGGCGGATGTGTGTGTGGCAACTGGGCAAACATTGCCCTTTCCGGACTGGGGGAGAGATTCTGGAATTACCTGTTAATAGAAAAAAAAGGGTATTTTTCTCATTAATAGGGCAGCAGTTTCTTCTGGGGGGAAATGTTGGGTTTTGAGGATAGATTTTGGCTTTGCTGTGTCTCAGTTCCAGCTCTGGGCTGGGGGCTGGGTCTGACCCAGCACCACCCTGGAGCCTTTTCATCCCTTCTTCCCCCCAGTCCTGCAGAAAGAAATCCTTAAAAAATAAAAAAAGACACAACATATCTGTGCATCCAGTTTAATCACAGACAGATGTTTATTTGGGCCAGTAATGGTTTTGGTTTCTTTTTTCCTTTGATATTTAACTGTAGGTTTGCTGGCTTGTCTTCCCCTGTGCAGTCTAGAACAATCAGGGTTTGGCTAAAACCTCTCCTGGTTGGAGGAACGAGCCTGTTGCCAAGAGCTACTTCTTTGATGCAAAAAAATACATCCTGGAGGTGCTTTGTCAGATGTTTTTATATTAAACAGTTTTCCTCCATAGTTTCAGTTTGCCAACGGGAAATAAACTGCATCTATTTTCCAGTGTGCTTCAGAGAGGAATTCTCTGCTCGCTGTGGAGGCTTTTCCCACATGGCTGTGGATGGCCATGGATGTTGGAATCCCATGGGAGAGCTTCAGGGCAACAACCTGCCCTGATGTGCAGCTTCTGGCCCTGCCTGGGGCTGACATCAAAGGCAACTTCTCCAACTGCAGGGGTGAATCATGGATTAATCCCTGAAAGGGAAGGTGGGGAAGCTCTGGGAGCCGAGCCCTGAGCTTTCAGTGCTGTCCCTTTCACAGAGCTGCAGGTGTGCTCCTTTATTTTATATCAAGGTGTCTTTCTGGGGTGGTGATAAAGCCTCTGGAGCCAGTGGATTTATGGAGGGCAGTGGGTTTTTCCACAGCCCATCTGTGCTTGGCACGGTGGGGGGCTCAGGTGGCAGCTCCTGGAGCAGTTCAGCC